ATTACATTACCACAAATTTAAACTATGCATTAAACTATTTCCTGTTAAAATGTTAGATATTAGGTTTGTTTGACCATCAAATGTAAACTTTGTTAAGTAAAAGGGCTGAAGAATCATATTAAGTGAACTTTGAATGGTATAATTTCAACAAACATTTCAATAACATCCTTATATTGGCAAAAACCTGAATGGGTACCGTATAATGCTTTAAATTCGCTGGGTCAATATTTCGCGTTTTTGTTTACGGAACATATCTCATGGGGGTTAAATTTCGCTGTACACCCGCTTCTATATTTCACGGATCACTTATATATCAATAAAATACGACACGGTTCAATGAAGGCGTTACCTTTCTATGACGTCAGTGATGTGGTAAATATTTTGAATTGTTTTAGCATTCGCGGATTTTAATTAAAATGAGAATAAAGCGAAAAATGAAAATCCCGCGACATATAACCGCTATACAGTATATGAAGTCACAGAGTTGTGAAATAAGATTTGAATAGTTTGAAAGTCAAAAGCTTGCAACATTATATTACCCAAAAACTTAAGGAGAAACGTAAAACTTATATTTGAATTCCTTAAAATTTGATCTCCTTACGATTTCAAAACCAAATATGCTGTAGAGGACCTGTGAAAACAAGCAAACTTTTCAAACATATTTCAAAAGTTGCATTCAATAACATTCTGACGTAGAAACGAGGTTAAAATGCATACGCCATGTTAGAACTGAACAGTTAGTTGAAATAAATGTGAGGTTTCTAGACATAACAAAGTAAACAAATGTTGACGATTAGTATCAGACTTTTCGAAATATGCAAAATAAAATAATTTTATTTTGAAGCTTTTTAATTTATTGACCATGATCTTACCGAGGAACTTATAGACAGAATTGTTTTGTCCTAATTGGTAGACTCTGAAGTGTTGTTTTTGGAAAATTACAAGATTTCATAAAATCAAATATCTGATAACTACAATATTTATTCGTGCTAAACTGCCATCTTATAATTTCAGAACAGTAGTAAGAAATGAACACGGGCAATTTAGGGTACCCGTACGACTGTTATAAAAGCATTGAGAACTGCTCTTTCTGGCATGAGTGTAGCTTTGATAAATCATTTCTGAAAAGTAAATTATTCCTTGCGCCGGGGCGTCTATGAAAAGAATGAGGAAGGAAATAAACCAAAAAATATGAAACTTCAATGGGGCCAAACCGGAACTTGAACCCTGGCCATCAGGTTGTTATACTATCGTTGTATAAACTGTACAATTCATCATCATTAAAAGTATGTTTCTATGCTATTATTACCAACATTTGAACCCATTGTTTACATTTGTAAACCTTGTCTGGCAAGTTTATAACAGACTTTTGCAAATGACAAATATGTGTGTCGTCGCGACAAATAAAATGAATACATTTTAGAAGGAATAACTTTCCAAGGTATTGATATTTTTGAATGAATCTTAATAGACACATACTTGCTAACTTGCCTTTCGGGGGAAAAAGCTTGCTCAAAATAAAAAATAAAAAAACATTAATAAAATGTGTTTGTATAACACCTAGGGACAAAATAACATTTTATGAAAAATTTAACAAATCAAATTGGTTTAAAATGTTCAATTTTTGGGTTTAAAATCTGGATTCTCCCTCGCAAATAGGTAGAATTGGCAAGTGTGTTGTCAGTGTAACCATAATAGATATGTTTAGCATCCGGCTTTGGAAAAGTTTACCCTAATAAATATGAGAATATGTGGCATCCTCAGACACATGACAGTGGTATTGATATGTTGGTTTTGATAACCGCGCGTACATTTAAAAACTGGGAAAAGAAATAGTGTTCAAACTTCTTGACAAATTTAAAACCTTCTAGTCTGTCTAGTAGAGGTGTATTTAATAAATAAAAAGCAAAGCATCTGAATTGTTATGTATAGCCAGTTATACAATAGACTATGCATGGTGACATCATAGTTACATAAATGTCGTTGCACACATACAGTTATGACCTGTGCCGAAGCCGTGGCTGGAGAAGACGGTGACGGATTATCTGATAAAGCAACGAAACGCGACAAGTCAGGTATTCGCATTTTGGCAAACCATTTATAGGCCTGAGTTGTGAAATACTTTCTGATGTCAACTTAAATATCATAACACCTACATGAAATGCCACCGATCTGCTGGCTCAATACGTATAGTCTCCTGAAAATAAGCATTGTTTAGAACTAATTGCATAGGTGCATTCTATAGAGGCATATGAGCGTTTGAATTGAACAGAAAATCAAAGGAATAAGCATTTTGATGATAAACACCTTTAGAAAAATGGCTGCCGCAAAGGATTTGATGAGCAGACGTCCGGATAAAATGTGCAGTCTTTCTAAAGTAAGAATAGCCCATAAGACTAACGAGATTTATTCACTATAAAAACTGTTCTGCATCCGAAACCGGTCGGATTTTGCAGATATTTCTTTTGTTATTTGTTTTGTTAATATCATATATGTTATGTTTAATCATTATCTATACATTACAACAGTAACAATCCTTCAAATATCTACGTAGTTCTGTAATAAACAATCTTAAATATCAACATGTCAACATGCATCGTTATCCCTTGTAAATGTAAATTATTATAACTGTAACGGAACTGGACTAGGTCGATCGTCGGCGAACAGATAGCTAAACTGGTTGAGCGTCCGTCTAGAGTTCATAGGATCCCGGGTTCGAGCCCCGGTCTGGCCGTGCATTTCCCCTCTCCTGTTACATTTGGCGCCCAACGAAATATACCCACATAAGGTGGTATCGGGTCTCGTGTGTCTTCGGGGTCGAAGACTGTTAAAAAAGGGAGGAATGTAAAAACAATCTCAAATACCAACATATTAATATGCACGGTTATCCCTTGGATTTCAATTGTAAATTATTAAAACATGTATTTTTGCCTGAATATATATCCGTAAGAGGAAAACATGCATATAACTCCTTTGTGATGAGAAGTAAGAAATGATGTATAAAAGATTAAGGATCTGCTAACGATAACAAAATCACGAAAAGGCGAAAAACCCGCCAAAGGGAAATAACGAACTAACACCAAAGTGCCAAAGCTAAACAATTATAAGACGAAAACCCGCCAAAACTCCAAGCCTTATAACGAAAGGATGAAAGCCGCTAAAGTGAAATATTCGTGGGAAACAAAGCGGATAGACGAAATGTGACATATAAGCCGCAAAACATAAGTCAACTTTTTGTGAAAAATAATTTCATCAATTTGTAAGTAAGCGGCGGAATTGCCGACACCAAATCAGTACAATTGCCTTAGGATCGATTCAAGCAGCAATGCATCATGGGGATACTCATAATATCCATATTCCATCATACAATCTGTGGTAGAAAATCAGTTATTATTTTCGAATTTTTGACAGTTAATTGAGTGTTTCAAATATATTTTAGACTAATCCTATATACCAAAAATGTGACAATTCAAGCATGATATAGACGGAAAAGTTCCAAACCATACTAATTTAAGCTTGTTTATTTATTAACATGACCCAGCCATATACAATTCATAAGTACCTCAGCAGAGCTATGATATACAATGTTGAGGAATGCATAAAAACAAAAGTTTGAACAAAAATGTTTGATACGAATTCTAATATCATAAGCGATTTACATGTATTATAATGAAACAGCAAAATAAGATTTAAAAATACCTAAGCACAGTTGTGATATAAAACATTAAGGAATGCATGAAAACAAAGTTACATTTTTGTATGAACCAAAAAGGTTGGATACGGACTATAATATCATAAGTTAATAATTTGTAAGGTTTTTAACAATGATAATCTACGTTTACGTACAATTTGTATAGAAATGAAATATAATTGACAAATACGATATGAGTATATACACTAATGTACATTTTCCTATGCAAACTTTAAAGATACATTTTGCAGCTAGATTCAAACAATTTGCAGAAAAAATGAATTAAATACGATAGTCAGAGCTTGATTCAAACAATTTACACCAAAAACTAATTAAATACAATAATTACAACTAGATTCAAACAATTTACAACAAAAATGAATAAAACACGATAGTCACAGCTAGATTCAAACAATTTACAGCAAAAATTAATTAAATACGATAGTCACAGCTAGATTCAAACAATTTACAGCAAAAATTAATAAAATACGATAGTCACAGCTAGATTCAAACAATTTACAACAAAAATTAATAAAATACGATAATCACAACTAGATCCAAACAATTCACAGCAAAAAATAATTAAACACGATAGTCAGAGCTTGATTCAAACACATTACATAAAAAAATGAGTTAAATACGATAATCACAATCATAGAATATATGTGTCTTAACATTAGTCGCCAGTATCTATTTGCGATGTATCGTGCTTTTTACTTGGACGAACCAACCAAAATCTCTGTTGACGGTGTATCGTGTTTGTACCTTGACGAATCGTCCACAGCACATTTTGGCGGTGTATCGTGTATGTTCTTTGACTAATCGTTCATATGCTCTAATGGCTGTGTGTCGTGTTTTGATGAATGGTCCTCAGCAGGTTGTGGCTGTGTATCATGTTTGTACCTTGGCGTATCATCCACAATCTCTATTTGCGGTGTATCGTGTTTGTACCTTGACGTATCATCCACAATCTCTATTTGCGGTGTATCGTGTTTGTACCTTGACGAATCGTCCACAAGATCCATTGGCGGTGTATCGTGTTTGTACCTTGACGGATCGTCCTCAATCTCTATTCCCGGTGTATCGTGTTTGTACCTTGACGTATCATTCACAATCTCTATTTGCGGTGTATCGTGTTTGCACCTTGACGGATCGTCCTCAATCTCTATTCCCGGTGTATCGTGTTTGTACCTTGACGTATCATTCACAATCTCTATTTGCGGTGTACCGTGTTTGTACCTTGACGAATCGTCCACAAGATCTATTGGCGGTGTATTGTGTCTGTACCTTGACGAATCGATCACAGTATCAAATGGCTGTGTATCGTGTTTGTACATTGACGAATCGTCCACAATCTCTTTAGGCTGTGTATCGTGTTTGTACATTGACGAATGATCCATAGCACATTTTGTCGGTGTATCGTGTATAATCCTTGACGAATCGTCCACAATCTCTATTGGCTGTGTATCGTGTTTGAACCTTGACGAAACGTCCATTGTTTGTATTGTCGGAGTATGTTGTCGGTACCCTGGAGAATTGTTGTACATTTCTAAGGTCGAAGCATCGCATTCGTGCCCTACTGCATCGTCCGTAGCGTCTATCTCCAAAGTCAGACATCCGTCATCTGTATCTGCTTGTTCAACATTGTTTTTCTGAAACAGATGTAATTTATTGTTGTAATGGGACTCTTACACATAACCGTTTGTGATCACAGGTATCTTAGCATTTGTTATTTGGACCTAAACTAAATGTGTTACGGGTAATACTACACGTTTGAGAAGTGTCGATTAAGAATGCTACCTCCCATTGATGATATAAGGGGAGGAAGGCTCTCGATGTCGAAAAATCGACCCCGCCAACTTTTCCCGCATCAATAATCAAATGACATGAACCCCGTTTTCTCCAAAAACACACGCCATTTCCAAGTTTCAAAGTGTTTTGCAGTCAAAGGGACACCTTTTCCATCTATCTTTATGAGGTACACATGTGGTGTGATTGGCTGGTTATTTAGGGATGGACTGGCTGCGCTGTTAGGAATATATCGTGGCTTATAGTTAGTCTCGTTCAACCAGACGCTTGGTCACTTGTAATTCAAAAGTCGGTTCAAACACGTTCTTTAAAATAACTATCACTAGAGGGTAGTGTTTTTCCTTTCGTTTCCGGACATTATGTCAACCCAATTAAAACATTTCAAACAATAATGAAATTAATGAAACAAACGTACCTGTACATGCATTCCTGTACCCGTGTATTCACTATTATCGAGAACAATGTAAGAAAATTTATCAACTCTCGAACTGAGCACAAAGCCAACAAGGCTGACTGAGGTTGGAAAAAAGCATGCAAAGCAAGTGAGATTTTACCTGTCACCATTCAAAACACTACAGGTTCTCACTCAGGTAATCTGGCTTGACTTGTATCAATAGCCTTGTTAACTTCATGAATTATTGGAAATAACCTTTGACCAATGCAATAATAATCCAGAGTTGTGGTAAACCTCGTTATGATTTCACAAAACGGTAGCACTGGGTTTGACCAGACTCTCTGTTTGGAGTAGCTGGCGCAGACAACAAGAGTCTGGTTGAGCGAGACTAGGTTTATAGTTGGCGCTGATCACAAACTCGAAGATTCATAAATGACAGGAAAATTCGTAAATCTATTTATAAAATGTAACAGTTTGATTTTAAGATTGACCAGAATCGAACATGTATACAAAAAAGCACCTTCTCTACAGTAAAATGCACAAATGATATATTTAACGTTATATTATACGAATAAAACTGTATTACAATAAACATGTAACATGTAGTCTCCTTGAAGCAGACGGAAAAATAATAATGTGCAGGTGCTAAAGGTATGCCGGGAAATCTTACAAGGATTAAAGAATCTTTACCGAAAGTTGATCTAAAGCCCTAAAATGTGGAGAATTACTCTGAAGACGTTAGTGTAGGTCCAGATATAGCTGTAACACATTCGAAGGTCCCTGTGTTTATGATAAAATCTTGTGAAATCTAACACTGATATGAATTATATAGAAACTTGTGAAGGGGGTGTTTCAAAGACAGAAAGGTTTGGGTATGACGAAGTTAAGTATCCTAAAAGGTGAGATTAAATAAGTAGGTTTGTAAGTGACTGTCCTGGTACCGCCTCGCTACTGACAAAAAGTAAGAGCATAAACATAGTCTGGGAGAGTTAAAATGATGGGACTTGCTCGTAGTTGCACGTGTACATTAATAACGTGCATTTATAACTTTTGTCTACAAAACATAAGCTATTTTTAACTTGTGTTTCATGGGAACTGTTACAAAATAAATTCGAGCTACAAAGCAACGGCCAAGCTGGACTAATAATCCACCAGCAGCGTCAGTCCACTTGGTTACGTAAATACGAACACCTATTTAAAGTATAAGTTTTAGAAGCAGAAAGGCAAACAACGTAAACATATCATTCTGGAACAGTATACATAAACATACTCCAAAGAAAACATTCTCTGTTGCAGACAAATGTAAATGAATTGTTGTTAACGTTGAGTAGGGTTTTAAAGGCACATTGTCCCTTATGTTACTTCTACAGGTATTTCAAAAACAATTCTGACATACTAATCAATTTGTTTACCTTTAATACCAAAACTGAGCCAAAGAATGGCCAAACATGTTTGGTGCCGTTAAAATATTTACTTTGACTTTCTGCAGCGATTTGTTATTCCCTGTTTCACGTTCAGCATTGAGAGAAATGGCAACAACTATTTCATCCGTTGTCAGTAAAATGTGATCGGGCGGAATGCTGTGCTGGGTGCCTTCGGCATAGTTTTTCAGTGAGATAGCTCTATAATTAGGCATACGATCCGCGCTGTCACAAGGAGGCGAATACGCCAACATACCCTGTCTCTGGCACACATACACACATGCATGCATATATAACACACACACACGGAGACACGTACATAAATGTCCTTAGCTGTTAATAGGACGTTAAACCAAATAACACCAAACCTTAAATGACCTAAGCTGTTAATAGGACGTAAAACAAAACCAAACAAAACCAATTAAATGTTTAAATAGGTGTTTCCTTAATTTCGTTCTATTTTTAACAGAAAGGACTGTTACTTTACGATGAATTTCTCTGATATATTGATTCCATTAATTTAATCAATCACGTTAGTTCAGCATACAACACATCAGCTATCA